AAAGCTGTAAAAATTATACAAATATAGTTAAAAGTCCACAAATTTACTCCCTCCATCATATTTCCCAAAGCCGTCCAGCGGGTGGGACTGGAGTCTTTGCCGGATTCTTCCCCCCAGGTCTTATGTTTGACATCCCTGGTCTAGCATATGAATATTGATATACGTCTATCACTATTTCCCTATGCTCAAGTTTTAAACCTATATTTTGTCTTATAAACAACCCAAATATTTATTTTAGTACCACAGAACAACGCTGAACAATTACTTGATTTCAAAGCCAAATCATGATTAAAAACAAAATCCACTTAAGCAATTTTCAAAGAGTGCAATTTAGGGTATTTTTCCCCAAAATAGTAGCATTTCATTTAATGTAATAAATAAAATAAGTCTAATGTTTTGTCCTAAAAATGCAATATTTACTCTTTAAAACCAATTTCCTATTTTTGAGTCATCATTCTTGTATTTGAATTTAGGGCAAATGATGTTGTGATGATAATCCATGTTTAAATTAATATATATTTCTCTATTATATTGTGAATACTGACGGAAGACTTCATTTTATAAAATCATGCAGCTAATCTAATACTACTACTACTACTACTAATAAGTTATATTTTTCGCCAAATCATAAATCACATTAAACGTTTTACCCCGTTTGTCAGAATAGCTGGGGAGTGTATTGTCAAAAAACAAAACAAACAAACAAAACAACCCCCAAACTGACCAATTATACAGGGCAGCTAACATTTATTTTACTTTACTTTTACTACACTTGGTGACTGCTGGTACTAGTTTAAAAAAAAAAAAAAAAGGTAAAATAAACCTCATAAAATAAACAAATCAACGAAGCAGCAATATAGTAAGCAATCTTGAGGTGAATGACGGCAGCGAGTCTGAATGACGTGATTCCAGTGTTTCATCTGTGATTTGTGTTGGTGTACATGTCAGACAACTGGCATGATTTTAGGTCATTTAAATGTTCATACATTGTTGAGTGTTTGGGTTTTTTATGATACAATTGTAACCTGTAAACAGGTTTCAGTTCACTTCTCCAATAAGAGAGCCTATGGGATTTTATCTGCCTTCTAGAGAATAATGTTACTCACCTCTGTTGCAGTCTCATATGATGTTTAAGAAGAGTTTATATCATTTCAGTCTAAAATAAATTAAAATCTCAAACAATCAGCATAGAGCTAATATATATTAAAGTCCAAATAAAAAGTTGCAGGAAACAAAATTGATTACCAAGCTAACAAATAATCATTGACCTATTCATTTTGTATTAAAATACGTAAAAAAAAATTATAAAAATTAAAAAAAAAGAGTTGACAGAACTTATGTCATGTTTGTTTTCACGGGGCCACAGCCCCATTGCCTGTCTAGATCTGACAAGGTCACAGAAACCCCAGAGTGAAAACCAGTGGCCCAGCAAGCTCTGTGTGTAGGCTGGGTAATGCCAGGTGGGGCAGAAAGCAAAAAGGGGTAAGCAAAAAGTGCCACTACAAACAAAGTCTAGCCCAGCCCCCATCACTTGATTCACCCCGAGGTCTACGGAGCAGCGTCACTCAGGAAATTCTAAAGAGAAAAAGAAAAAAAAAGAAAAAACGTAGCCTACCACATTCCACCAAAACAAACAACAGGGCCACCCAAATTTTTCAATTAGAGCCCCAGGAGGGGACAGGAAATGGATCAGTGTAGCCACCCCCCACCTTCCCCTGTCATCAATGCTGACTCTGGACTAAAGAAAGAGAAGTGATACACAGAGCTCTGTAGGCTCTAACTGTACAATTGCTACCGTGGACCTCAACTCGAATGATCGACATCTTATTTCTATGACACGGCACCAGTCTGCTGTTGACTTGTCAATCAAATTGCTCTCATTCACTCTTTCATACAATCAATCAGTTAAACTAACACACATGGTAAAGAACTGCTTCCCTGGGATAGAGCTATTTAAAGAAAGTATGTGTAACAACATTAAAAAGCACACAAGAAAAAGGATTACAGAGGCTTAAACTATGTTCTGTCTGAAAACACTAAACTTAATGAGCGTTTACATAATATCTGGGAGGTCTTTATGTATATTAAGTTGTATCTCACTGTTTACATATACTAGGAGTGATTGTATGTGCAGCCACAGCTTGAAATGTTGAAATGCACTTTCTTGATCTTTGACTAACACAGACTGGAATATTTAGAAAACAAAAAGAAGCAATGCTCATCATTGAGGCAGCATTATGCTAAGGATTCTTGAGGCGAATGACAAAAATGATTCTGAACAACGTGATTTTTCACTTTGTAACTTTGTAGTGCAACTGAAGTAGGGCTGGGCGATATATCGAGTTTTTTAAAAATATCGATATATTTTTATACGAGATATAAGATGTGACCATATCCTTTATATCAATATATACGTTATAATTAGTTGTGGAGCCACAAGTTTGCCTCTCTTTCGTCCACTTTTGTCTCTACGCAACATTACTCCGCCTCGCCTCTCTTTCACTGAACACAACTCCCCCTCCTCCCCCATAGCTTCACCTGCAGGCAGCGACAATATGAACACGGCAAATCTCCGTTAACGAGTTACTGCGCATCGCTCCGTGCGTGGGGCTGGACGGCGTCAACGTGTTAACGAGCTAACCACGCTAACGAGCTAACCACGCTAACGCCATGCAGCCCACAGGGGCTGCACAGCCTAAAATCCTTTCATTTTCTCAAAAGTTGACAGTGCGCCTTATGTATGAATTCTGGTTGTGCTTGATGACCGAGAACAGACTTTATGTGGAACACGGCACTCATCAATCTGTCAAAAAAAATGTTTTAGTACGACTTTGGTAAGCTACGGAGCTGCACCGCTTGATGGATTGTTGGAGGAGCCTCGCGTAGTAATATGCACTGTGCTTCAACGTAATATTACCGTATTGTGTGTGTATAAGGACCATAAATGGCACCTGAAGCGGATTTCAAACTCCAGGCTGTCAGTCACGCAGTAGAAGTTGGGAACAGAGCAGCTGTGAAATCTGTCTATGTTATTATGCTCAGCGTCTTTTAGTTTACATTTTGACTGCACAATTGTGAGCTTTTTGTTATGGACAACAACAACATATTTTTTGTTTATTTATGGAGCTTTATTATTTAATAAATACTCGTAATTTATTTTTGAGTAGTTTTTCTCATGCACATCTGTGCTGTATGTTAATAAAAGTGCCCGTGTGACATCTGGGACACAGCTTTGACTAAGAACTCTCTTTTTGTTCTTACTTTATGGCTTTAAAAAAATATCGAGATATATATCTTATATCGCCATCCAGCTAAAAAATATCGAGATATGAATTTTGGGTCACATCGCCCCCAGCATTAGGAATAAACACTAAACATATCGTAGGTCAGTTACATCCTGCACTGATTCAGACCCGAGCGTTGAGAATTTTCAGCACTACAGCCTTGTAGTAAAACAATGTGTTTTCCTGTTAAGGGTCAAATTGTTGCAATTGCTTAGCTGTTGAAATTCAAGATGTGCTTTCATAATACAACCACTTAAATCAGTTCATCTTACTATCCACTCAGCGAGAATTAGTGTGTTTGTGGTCTATTTCAGGAAACAAACAAAAAATCACTGATTTCACCCTCTCAAATATAAAAGCTGTAATGAGTACACAAATCAATAATAAATAATCATTAACTAGATAGAAAAGCCTCACAGGTGCACTGACCTAAATCAGAACTAACAGTAGCTTCAACCACAAGAAGTGATTATCTTTGATGCGCCACATTACCATGTAATTATACCTCATAACCATCCAAGATAAGTGTGCCATTCATGCAGGGGCAATGAGGGAATATGATTCTCACATGAACTGAATGAGCATTCTGAGAAAACGTAACACTCATACCAAATTAATTCTCAAAAACAAGTCAAGTTACCTAATTTGAAATATACCAATGTTTAGTCTTATCAGCTTGTTTTCCAGTCAGTGCCTTTCTCTGTCACATGAGGTAACTGAGTGTGATCACTTTATTTCTTTTTTTCTTATTTTCACTCTCCACGTTTTTTCTTTTTTGTACTCCAAGTGCCACTAAGGTGTTTTTAAGTGTAACTTTATCACACTAGCAATCACTTCTTACTACTTCAAAGGCAATTAGGAGTAATCATACCACCTGCCGATGAGTCACTACTGCAGATTTTATGTATTTATTTATAAAACAAAAACCCAAGAGATTAGTTGCAAGGTGGGGTCGACGTAAGAAAGAAGGAGGTTTCTGAATGAAATCTTCATGAAGCATTTCTATATTTGCAGAGAATAGCACCCGTTGAATATAGCGCTGTGGATTACAGCATCTGGTAAATGAAGTGCCAATTTAGTGCTTTCAACATCACATAGGTTTTCGTTTTAATAATACATCTGCTCTATGAACAACCCAGCTGTTATTCAGCACTAATCGAAAAGTAAACAAAACAAAGGAGGGGTCACAGCTAAGCAAGACAAGAAGATGATTTTTTTATCGCTATTAACGTAGTATCACCTTCCCGAATTTACCAGAAGTCAATGATTACTAGTAAGAAGTTTCATCACTACGTGTATCGCTACATACACAACGCAACACCAAATTTACTTTAATAAGACAGAAATTTTAACGGAGTTTGGTACAGCTAATCGTAATGTCGCTAACACTGCAGAATGACACAAATAAGCCATTTCCCAGTTGTTGTTTTTTCGTCAGACACGTTAAAGCCAACTGCTGCAATAATTAAATAGCTCTTTCGTTTTGTTACAGAAAAGAATACAAGCTTTACTGAGAAATTTGACAGCTGCAGTTAGCTTATGCTAGCGTTTGCCATTAACCGGATTTGTTATACTAGAATGATGTTGGAGTTAGAGGCTGTCATTCTCGTTCGTCATGACCATAAAAAGGGCTTAGATTTCAAAAGGACATGGCAATTATAGCAAGCTATTTGGGGTAGAAAAAGTAGAAGATATAAAGGGAAATATTTAACTTACAGTCGCTTGCCTTCTGCGGTGTTTCCTGTATCATTTAACTATTTCCGGTCTTCCGTTTTTCATGCAGCCTTCAAAATAAAACGAATCACTTTGTAAATGCACATTTATATTTTTGACTATAAATGTGTTTAACTCAGCGATCTCCATAACTTCAAACAAGCTTCTGTAACATAGTAAGTTTAATGTTTTGTTTTATACACTTCAGGCCTTTTAAATGTTAAAATTAAATGAATAAATAAATAAAGTTCTTTGGTACTAGTTATTTTGAATTTCTGTACAGCACTTTGGTCAACGTTGCTGTTGTAATTAAATGTGCTATATAAATAAAATCGATAAACGAACCGATAAAGGATAAATGTAAGAAAACAGCGTGATCATACAGATTTATTAAAATCTTTATAGAAGCCACTTTAGTCTCTCAGCAGATATCCTAATTACCTGTGAAAACTTAAGGCAGTTATATTACATGCGCACACACACACACACACACACACACACACACACACACACACACACAAAATTTTGCTGACCAAGGTTTTAATGTAATCATGTATCCAGGGTGGATCTAAGTCTCCATGCAGCAATAAAACCAGCCTGCTCTTCTGAAGTGTTGGTTGTCCATTGTGTGAGAATTTTGAAGCCCATTGGGAGCTTTGCTCCTTTCCTCATCTCTCTTTTCACGGTGCATCATTGAGGTATTTCCACTTGTTCTGGGAAAGGCGCAGCATCATTAGAAATGCAACAGAGACCACCCAGGCACACACTAGAACACTGATGGCATTACATTTATCTCACCAAATTGTGCAGGGCAGAAAGAATTTCTGTGATAAGGCAAGGCCCAATCCCCAGGGAAAGCATATTGTCCAATTAGACTGACTAATCTGATAATTGAGGGATCAAACTGTGACTGGGGAGTTTGCACAGATGCTGATGTAACACAGAGGCTGTTTGTCTACATAAACATCTACTTAAAGCAATGATGGTGGAAGATTTTGATCTCAGTCTCAGTGGTACAGTCTTTGCCAATGAATGACTACACTGGCAGTATATCACACATATCACCCGCTGAATACAGAAATAAGTGGCAGTATATATCACATATTTTATTTTATTGTGTTATTGAACAGATATTATATATGTTTTGTAATATAAATGTTGTGCATTTGTACATATTAATTAATACGTATATTAATATACTCACAATTTTGCACCAAATGTTTAGTTGAAGGAATATTTCACAATCTTGGGGAATAAACTTTTGCTTCTCAGTGATAAAATGAGAAGACCACTGTCCTGTCTGTCTGTTAAAGATGAAGGTCATGCCAGCATGTGGTGGTGTGTGCCCAGCATAACAACTGGAAAGAGCGGGGAAACAGCTAGTCTGGCTCAGATGTCAGACTAGCTGTTTCCCATCTGGGAATATATCAGTCGTATTGATCTTCTCATCTATATCCCAAAGTGCCAAAGAAATATACTCTCCATTCAAAATGATTTATTTAGTGAGGAACATGCGATTGCATGTTGCGTTTTTAAATAGTGCAGGCTTTCTGAGCAGGTGTGCTCCTGAGGGTTTGGTGCCCTCATCCTTGCTTTGACCCCCTAACCTTCTGTAATCTACATCTCGCAATGGCACATGCTGCGCTGGCACCATTGCTCATCCCCGAACCCTATTGTTCATTGTTTGTCTTCTCCAGTTTTTTCCCATGGGCCCCTGGCCAGTGAGAGGAAAAGGTCACTGTAAATATTGCACTGAAATCCTCCCGCCCTCCCATAGAGCTCCTGAAGATGGAACAGACGGCCAGTGGGTGAGCACTTCCTTCCTGCGCAGGGCATTTAAACTGTATGACATCAAACAAGTGTGAATCCCTCAATGTCAAAGATTACTGCAGAGATCATATGCTTGGTGCTGACATTACAATAACCTGTGCTACTATACTGTAGATACTATACTATGGTATAGTATCTACAGTACATGCAATTCCATTTGCTTCCTAAAAAAAACAACTGAACAAACAAAAAGTCTTCTATCTGTCCCAAAGCTACTTTTTAGTCTGTTTCATAGCATTAAATACCAATAATATGTTTTTAATGACCATATATGAGTCCAACCCGTGCCCGTATTATGGATCTCAAAATAAACACAAAATATGTATTCCAAAGGAAATTAAGTGAGGTTTTGGAACCCCTGACCCATGTGTGGCTAATCACTAGCCTGTAGCACCGCTGTTAATATAAGACAGGGGATTTTAAATAAACCTCTGATTTCTGGGTTTGTTTGGCTTCTGAGTGGTGCTCTATCTCCCCCCCTTTTTCTGAAGGAGTCCAGTTCCCTGGGCTCACATTTTGGTCTCCGGAAATCCAGGCCTGTGCCAGGCTTAGCTTGGAAAAGCATCCAGATGAACACAATACAAAAATGAGATTTGAGGGGAACAGAGAGCCTTTCAGTCTGAGTGCTGACACACTGCTCAACACTGTCAATGACTGCACAGCTAATGATTTCTGTTCCATCACCTTAAACGGGTCATCACTAGTGGGCACTCTACTTTTGGCCCTGTTAATGTTATGAATGTTATTATGTTATTAAAGACATTTGTGATGAGTTCAGAAACGTTCACTGATAGGCTTGGGGTACATTTCCTCAGCAAGACCTTGTCACTATCCATGCAGGGCAATTGTTTCTTTGGAAATAAATTTCTGATGATTTTGTCATTAGCTACCAAATTAAATATGATTGCCGGATAGCTATGGCTAAATACCATAAGAGGAAAGTCAGAGAATATTAGTTTTAGTAATTTGGAACCAAGACATAAAGACTACGGGGGAATTTGGCCGAAAACGATGGGTGTGAGAAGGTATAAAGGCGCATTTTCCCAAATATGCTTGGGCTTTTACCACCCAGGTTAACATAACATGTTCCTTGCCTTCTCATAACAACGCTCCTTCAACCCCCCCTTCCCCCCAGGCCAGACAACAGGCTACTGTGTCTCTGGGGGCACAGCCCAGATCAGCTCTAGAACTAGGGGGAGCCTACAAGAATAAAATTAAAAATCCTCATGGATGGTAAAAACAAATTAGAAACATTTACTTCACAAATAGTTTGTTGTGTAATACCACCTCTTTTGGTTGTTTTTTTTTTTTTTTTTTACTGTTGTACACCGGCCCCTCGTATGAGCATCACAGCGCTGAGGGGAAACAGCTTTCATCCACGGGGGCAAGCTGAAGCCGTCGATGCATGCTGCACTGTGTGTTCTGTTTCTGATGAGATGTGACTGGCTGGAGTGCGTTCATAACTGTTTGTGTTTACGAACAGGTGGACTTGGTTACAGCTCGGGGTTATTTGTGTGCAGGATGGGCCAATGCCAATTGCAATCAAGAGGACATTCTAAAAAATCATACAGTTAGCAGGCTGATGTCATGTGCTCAAGCTCTGCTTTCTGCTGTTGTAGGTCAGATGTTTTAATTTGAATATTTATACAGTTTAATGCTGCCATCTTTTTATCCTTCGGCGGGGTTTTATTGTAGCTATTAATTCAAATGTAAAATGATATCTTATTGCAAAGCATTTCTTTTTAAAGACTTAAATATTCTCACTCAACCTTGTTCAGTTTAAGCATCAACATGTGTTTTACTGTATCGTTTTAGATATTTTTAAACCTTCTTTTGGGGGAAAAAGGAGACCTGCAAGTGTATTTCCTCTAGTAAAAACCAGTGTAAATTAATAAGTGTCCCAAATTTGAAATACTGACAGCATGAAAGATTTTTAAAAATGTTGTAAAACGTAAAGAACTGAGCACGTCAATAATTCCAGAGAGTATTTGGAGCAGTATGGGACCTACTTCAAGATATTAAAGAAATTAGGCAATTAAAGGACGCATAGTGGATTAAAAATACCGCAGGAGAAAACGCTGAGAATAAACTTAAATCTTATGCTCCCCTATGTGAAAGGAAGAGGGGGTTTTAACTTGAATGAGCCCTCTAATGCCACACATGGGCTTTCTATCCCATGGATCCTTCTGTAAAGTCTTAACACCCTGAGGACGAACTGCATTGGCCTCAGTGAATATTAACTGGACTTATTGTGTAGCATGTTGGCTCACATGACTATGATTTCATAACATGTCTTCATTTCCGCTGCTAAATCAACGACAGTGAGCATCCAGGGCTTGGCGGGCTGCTTCATTGTGACCTCAAGATTTTTCCTCTATCTGTGCGTTTCATATATTTTATGCAGAAAAAAAAAATGCAGCTGCAACTCAGTAGGGGGCGCCCAAGAATGTCATTTCAGAACTTGGCCTCATCACTGGGGAGCTCGTTCAGAAAGAAGTGAAGGTGGACAAATGCGAGAAAAGCTTTGTTGTGAGGTATAAGAACAGTGACTGCAGTGTTACCAGCCTGTCTGTATAAACATATAAAGCAACACAACTGCCTTAGATTACAGTTAGAATAAATTTAGGTGTGAACAAAATGAAAACATTAAGTAACAGCAGCGTTGAATATTTAAAATAAAATTCTAGCAAAAATGTTTTCTATGTTCTACATTCCTTCTGAATTCAATGATATATAGAAACTGTTTTTATTGGTACCTAAGCCATAATATAGCACAATTATATTAGTTTCATGAAGAACCTCTTTCAGATGTTAAAAGTTAAACAGCTGTAAGAAGCTGTTCATTCAAATGATTCAGTAAAGCTATCTGAAAACTATCTGTTTAAATCAAGAAATATTTATGGAGCAAAATTTGACAATTCACAAATTGACCATTTTTAATATCAAAATAACCGATTTAATTCTATTTTTAATAGTATTCAATACAGCAATCTATAACAACATCAGTATTTTCCTTTCAAAAATTCAGTTAAAGGAACAAAAAGCGATTTCAACTGGATGGAAAAATAAAGTCTGTTCTCGAGATAGAGGTTGGTAGAATAAAGGGTAAAAAATGGGAAAAGAAATGATAAATAATAATAAATCAGGCACAATGAAATGAAAATAACTTTAAAACAGATGTAAAAAGGAAATATAGTTAAACAGTGGAATAGTTACACAAAGCTAAGAGCCACCT